GTGGGGTGGGGGGTGGGGGGAATTCTAAGCCTAGGGGGGGGGGGCAGAGGCCATGGATAGACCACTTGCTCTGGAGAGATGATACACCATACCATGCTACTCCCTGCCTGTCCCAGCCATCCTCCAAAGAGCTTCAGGGGGATCTTCTGAAAATAAAATCATGTCACCTCCTTGCTCCGAATCCTCGAGTGGAGAGACCACCATTCCAGGTCAGCCTGTTAGGAAGAAAACAGCTGCTAAGAAAATAGAAATTCTGGTGGCTCCCGTGTCATAAGCCAAATCCAGCGTGTTCTCAGTTAGCCCACGGCCCCTCCCATTCCTAGTCCCCACCTCCCCTCACCCCAAATGCCTAACCCCAGCCACAGGGACCTGCCTCCGCTGCACAGGCATTCCAGGCTCTCCAGCTCCACAGGGGTTCTCTCCTCCCAACCTTTGCAGGGGTTCTCTCTTCCCAACCTTTGCAGCAGTCCTCCTCCCTGATGTCAACGGTTTCCCTCTGGTGTTCCCCACACCTCTGCTGAATCTGCATCCTCGCTTGTTGCCTATCTGGCTCCTTGAATGCTGGGACCTTGTCTGTCTTCTCACCACCGTGCCCTGGTGCCTTGGTCAGAGCATGGCATACAGTTGGTGCTCAATAAATTTGTTGTTGAAGGGTCTACAGAGGAATGACGATGGTCATGACACACTGTAATTAAGAATGACGTTGACTGGGCGCAGTGGCTGACACCTGCAATCCCAGCACTTTGGGAGGTTGAGGCAGGGGGATTGCTTGAGCTCAAGAGTTCAAGACTAGCCTGGGCACCATAGCAAGGTCTCGTCTCCACACACACACACACACACACACACACACACACACACACACACAAATCAAAAAGTTAGCCAAGTATGTTGGTGTGCACCTGTAGTCCCAGCTACTTGGGAGTCTGAGGCAGGAGGCTTGCCTGAACCCAGGAGGTAAAGGCTGCAGTGAGCCGTGATTATGCCACTAAACTCCAGGCTGGCTGGGTGACAGAGTGAGATCCTCACTAAAAAAAAAGAAAAAAAAAGAAGCCGGGCTCGGAGGCTCAGCCTGTAATCCCACGCCTTGGGAAGCTGAGGTGAGTGGATTGCCTGAGCCTGTGGGTTCGAGACTCGCCTGGGCAACTTAGCGAGACCTCATCTCTACAATAAATAAAAAATCAGGTGGGCGTGTAGCGCGCGCCTGTAATTCCGGCTACTCGGAAGGCTGAGGCGGAAGGATCGCCGGAGCCCAGCAGGTCGAGGCTGCAGTGGCTGGGAGCGGCCACTGCATTCCAGTCTGGGCGATGAAGTGAAACTCCAACTCAAAAAAAAAAAAAGAAAAAAGAAAGAAAAGGAAGCAAAGAAAGAAGTAGTAGACCTTATAGGGCATGTAGAGATGGATGCAAAGTGTGTGGGTCCACCTTTGTCTCTCCTTGGGGCAGGGGCTGGTTCCTATTGCTTTTGTAGGCACTGGATCAGATCAACAACTGGACTAACATGCAGTTGGGGAGTGGGCCTTCTGCTGGGAGGAGCCTTCTTCCTCCTAGAGCCAGCCTCATCAGGGACCCGTCCCTTCCTCAGTCCATGTAACCTGAGCACCGTGTCCAGGCACTAGTCTAGGCCTAGCTGTCTGCAGCCCTTAACTTCTGGTAGTTGGACTGAAGAAGACAGAGGACACCAGACAGTGCTGAGTGCTTAGAGAGATGATTGGTGTGTGAGGGGAAGGGCCTTGCCTCCCAGGGATGGTCACTGATGACCACTCTGCGGGGGAGGTGTTCACATGTCCTTGGGCAAGAAGCCTCCACAGATGTCAGCCCAGCTGAGGCCCTGGGAAGGGGGCGGCCCTGGTCTGCTGGGGAGCAGGGAGCCAGGAGGCAAAGTTGGGGGCAGCTTTCTCCTGGGATCCCCTCTGTGAGCTGAGGATGGGGCAGAGCTTGCCACAAGGGTCTTGTGGTCTACAGGGGAGACAGAGGCAAAATGGAGACAGACACTTGAGGTTGGGTCCCTGGAGGACAGAGCAGCAGGTCTGACTAGACACAGTGCCTGGGGTTGCCTGAGCTGGACTGACATCACACTCTACCCCTTGTCAGTTGTGTGACCTCATTGGAGTCACCTCCTATGATCAACCACCTGCTCCCAGGCTTGGATGGGGCTAAACAGATGGCGTGTGGCTCCCATTTGGGAACCCCCTTCACTGGGCACTGTCACCATGGTGTCCCCTGAAGGCAAAATGAGTCAGGTCCAGAGCAGCCAAAACTGTGCCCTTGTACAGAGAGGGGAAACAGAGTCTAGGGCTCAGGTCATCACAGCCCATATGCAGTCCCCAGTCTGCCTTCCTCAGCTCTTCCCCATGGATCTAGGGGCATCCGGTGAAGGAGCTTAGCCCTGAGCTGGGGCAGGAGTGGGATGGGGAAGAGGGGGACAGCCCTGCTCTGGGTATAAACAACTGGAAAGTGAAAGGTACCCATGGAAACCTAGAAGAAACTTACCTTGTTCTTTAGTCTTTTTGCCTCAGTGTAACCATTAGAAAGCATTCAAACATTCTAGTGCAGGACAAACAGCAGCCTAGGCAAATCTCCTACAGATACAAAGTCAGGACAACCCAAATGACCACCCCACCTTTGGTCAAGGAATTTGTGAATTGCAAATATCTAACATGTCTCTTGCAGGAAAA